ATCTAGAATGGTTTTAGGTTCAGTTTATCAAAACTTCTGTGGGAGACAACCCACCTTACATTTGGTTTAAATAAATATTAAAAAAATGAGTTTGCTGTTTAGTTTGTCTTTTGAGTTAAACAAACTTTAAATTTAATGTGTTAAGTGTGCTTGTTTTCATGTTATTATTGAGCGTGAACAATGAATTCTACACTTGTTAAGCAAATCGAATTTAATAATGTTTTTTGTGGTAATTCTAGAAATTATTAAATAAAATATGTTTAGTACAAAGCTATTTGGTGCGCTAATGAAAAGCTCTTGTTTAATTTATTTAATTTGTGAGTTTAATTGAGAAAAATTTAAATATGTGGCAAAAATTGAATGAAAATTAAACAATGGAACTGTAATTAAAACGAATTGGGTAGGTATAAAGGCAGTGATTAGTTAGTATTAATATCATTTTGATATTTGTAACATTCTAATTTAAATTTAATATTTTTGTATAATAATTTAGCCAAGAAGTGTAGAAATCTACGCAACATTATGATATAAAGTTCTTTACTATTTCTCATAATATTTAAGAACACATTTCATCCATTTGTATGCAAAGGCTATATAATAATAACGATGGATTATATATATATATATGTGCACTTACTTTCCCACTTCATCAAGCACGAACTGCAGGCAACTCCAAACTCAGAAAAAAAAAAATGAAACAAAGAAGCAGCAGAGCGCGACTCTTAAGAATTTGTGGCACGTTTCCATTGATTGCATTTGAGAGCTGCCACCAAACCGGATATAAATGACTCTATGCACTATAACTCACATGGCCATAAAGGCATTCAGATACTGCCACTGCCTTCCTCCTGGCCTGCTCCTGCCTTCTCCTCCAGAAATGTTCGTTAATCCATTAAATTTGAAATATGTTTTTGCGGGTGGCGTGGAGGGGGCGGGTAAAACCCTTCGCCTTGTGCATCCTGGAAATCCCGCTCGCATTCAGATAAATGCCATGGTTGCTTGGGTAATGCCGATGTGTCAAGTCTGGGTTCAAGCGCCTCGAAAGCTGCCAACACAAATCAAAATGCAAAAAGTACTTGCAATCACCTCTGCCATTTCGAAGAGCAATTTCTTTTTCCTTGAGAAAACTTTCCCTCTGTTTGCAGAGAAGTTTTAGGGTCGTAAAAGTGGCAAAAAACAACAATATTTCATTTAAATAAATAAGAAATGATTTTGCAAAGGCAAGATGTTGAGAAAACTTGACCAACGGACTTTTCTTTGAATAAATATGACTTTTGTTTTGTGAGTAGATTTCAGTTTTTAGTAAAGAGGAGACTTATTGGAGTTTACCTTTAAATTTAAAGCATTTTAAAGGCTTTTAATTTGTAATTCAAATGAAAATTATACCTTTGAAAAATGTGAAAATGTAAATACCAAACAAAATGGTGTAATAAGCTGGTCAGTTAACACCGCTGCAGCGCGCTGGCCAATGCACATGCCCCTGGTATTATGCAATTGTTTTTGCCACAAACACAGTCAGGAACACACACACAAACACATTCTGAAACACCAACACATTGATGCATAAAAGAGAAATTGCGATGCCGGCGTCATTTTGATGGCTCTCCACAGTGGGACATTTCATTTGACGCTTATGGCCGAAATGAACTGGAATTGAATGGAACGAGATGGAAAATAGAAATAAAGGAGAGGCGCTGGCATTTCCCACAACGACTCCTAAATTCGTGTCCTTGCCGCAAAACGAGCTAGTGGTTGGGCATTCAAAAAGCACTTTGAATTCCAACAATGCCACAGAAATTCGCTGTCAGTCGTTCATAGCGTGTTTTCACTTTAATTATTAAAAGTGAGATTAAGGTGAATGGGAAACATTCTGGAAAGTTGGCTCTTTCTTCTGTCTAAAGTATGATCTTTAATAAGTGGAAAAACCTTCACTTTAATCATTCCCTTCTTGAACTCATAACTCATATTATTCATAAACTTAAAAAGTCAAACTGCTTATAACGACTGAGAACATGTTTATCAACATTTTGTGCCATAAGTTAAAAACTGGATGAGGAGGAGCTGTCAACGATACGTGACAAATGCCAACATCTTTAATTCAGCCATTACATAAAATAAAATATTGTGATATAGCACTCTGACATTTGTGCCCCACAGTGTCTCTGGGCTCATCCACCCACCCACTGTGCGTTGGTGTTTGCGTCCATTCAAGGACATGCCCTGGCATCGCTCTCGAATGGCATCCGGGTGCTTTCGAGAGCCTGGTGTGTTCGGTGCAGCTCCTCGACGCCGCTCTCCATAACCCTGGCAATGGCAGAGTGTTCCATTTCCACTCTGACGGCCAGACCCGCTCGTAACTTCCAACCCCATGCCCGCCATTTTCCGGGTTTTCCTCTGTCAGCACTTGGCGCCCACTTGTGTGGTATTTTGTTTTTACACTCCACCGCCCACACAACGCTACACAGCAAGAAAATTATAAAATGTTTTTAGATTATTATAAAAAAAAGTTGATGGTTTGTAAGAAATGTGATTAAGAATTGTATTATTCTGATGTAGAGACTTTTAGATTTCTGTTATTAGTTTAGTTAATCATTTTGTAATATATTTCTTGCAGTGCACTTAGCCATGCCCTCTTGATGGGCCTCCCGTCTGGCTGGTATGCACACATCCAGTTGTTTCCTTTTTCATTGCGGCTTTATTTGTTGGCCTCGGTGTGCTGGAATTGTCATGTAAATGGGTTAAGTTCTGACATTAAATTGTTCTCGCCCAGATTTTTCATTTGTGCTCTCCACTGCTTTGACGTTTTGGGCCAAAATGATTTCCCATTTCTGGTCGACCTACCATATAGTTCATGATCCCCGTTTTCCGCATCCTTCAGCCTCCCTCAGTTTTTCATTATTCATTAAAAAGCAAAGCCGAAACAATGTCTGCAATTTCTGCCAACGGGCATAAAGAGATTTGCAGTATTTGTTGATAATTGCATTTTGTACTTTGTCCTGTTCTGGTCAGGCCTTTGACCAAGGCATTCGAATTTATTAAAATTGCTTGCAAGTCTAGCAATGAGATGGAAAAACTGGCATCTAAAGCAGTTTAATTGAATTTTCTTGAATGGTAATTTATAAAATAGTTTCTGCAAATGAAATGAAATTAAATTTGTACATGAATCTAAATAAATAATGAATTTATATCAACATTTTATGATTTTTAAAAAAAGAAAAAAAGAAGACACATCTCCCCGACGGGGAATTGAACCCCGGTCTCCCGCGTGACAGGCGGGGATACTAACCACTATACTATCGAGGATGTTGATTTCCGTTCTATCAAATATTCATTTCTCATACACCTGGCTAAAGTTTATTTTTGAGATGTCAGCATTCATTTATTATTGGCTATTTCTGGCTTACAATCAAAGTATTGATAAGAAGCCGTATAATCATATCTTTAGCTTGCAAACTTGTTGACATTGTTATGGCAATTTGCAACCAAGACCATCTTGACACTTGCTTCATTCTTTATAATCTTAAACATGTAAAACATAAAACAGATAGAAAATTGAAACCATTTAAATATGATACACTTTCACATAATAGCCCGAAGATAATCACTTAAACATTTGTTAAAAGCTTAACAAAAAAGTTAGCTAATATACTTCCGCAAGTTGTGGGTGCACTTTAATTGCATGCAGATTGAGGCGGATAAAAAAAGAGAACACAACCGAAACAGAAATCAAATTAAACTAAAGCGAAGAACAAAACGGCGCCGAACTTTGTTGGAATCATGCAAAGCGCAGCACATTTCGAATTGGCCATTGAACTTTGATATCAAAAACAGCGGCAACACCGGCGAAAATGGTTTTTAAAACGCTTAAACACGCGAGACCCAGCCAGCCGCGCCCCATCATAATTGGAAAAGTCTGTAAGAATCGCCAGTACCACACAAGCTTGTACCTACTATATATGTTTCTATATATATATACACATACATATATGTACTTTGTATAAATACATGTGCTTGGGGTCTGGTAGGTGGGGGGAAAACAACTTCCGCTACCAGCTGATAGACCCCTCTTTCCCTTGTTCTTATTTCCCCAGGCAGTTGTTAACAACTTTGCGCAAATTACATTCGAAGAGTGGAAACTGTAGTCGCAGCGGTTAGGAGGTCGTTCTTTCAAAGTACAAGTGATTAGCCCAACTGCAAGGGAAATAATGCATTCAAGAAATTGCTACGTTTTCAGATTAACTAAGAAGGAGGCTTAAGAAAAGAGAGTCTATTTATTAACCTCTAAAATATATCTACCGACTGACTGGATAATATTAAATATGTTAATTGATTGATTGATAAAAAAAATTGATATTAGAATTACAACAGATTTAATTTCATAAGGCACTTAAGTACGTTGATAACTGAGCCATATACAAGCCATTAATGGTTCTCGATTGCCATATGACAAGATATTGCAAAGTGGTTTATGTTTACTTATAGAGTAAAAGGGTATATTGAATTTGTCGAAAGGAATGTAACAGGTTTAAGGGAAGCTTTTCAGGCCATATACAGTTTATATATCCTCGATTAGGATAACTCACAGGAAAGTACTAGCTATGTCCGTCTGTCCGTTGTTCTATCTGTCCTGCATATCTATCTATCTATCTGTATAAGCTCTGAGATCTCTGGAACCTAAAGATTATAACTTAAAACCTATAAACGATAGTAACGTATGCTTAGTTGTAGGCCATGATCTGATATGTGTCTTATCATATGGCAATATTTTCGTACGTAATAGATACATTTATTACGTTGAATGGGTAATCGATTATATAGTTTATATTGAATATATGTATGCAAAACCAAGGAATTATTTGATTTATACTTATATTTATTGGTACATTTGGATAAGATAAAACCCACATTTTAGTTATAGTATCCAAACTAATCAGATAATTAGTAAATAATTTATAAGCAATACTAAAGTTTCTTTTAATTTTCTATCCATCTTTTATCAGGCTTCCAATGCGGCAAATAGTTCTATGAAATGTAAGTGGAATCCAGTGAGCGAACCATTCACAAAACTGATAGCGCAGTTTAGTATATAGACTATATATTATATATGGACATATGGATACATAGGAGAAGCAAGTGCGATAAAGCCAAAATCAACATAATATCCATACAATTTCAGAATTTTCGTTGCGTACCACCAGCTAGCTACGTACGCCCTATCGTCGACCGTCCCGTCCCGCCCCCCTGAACGCCTCCGTCCCGCCCTCATCCGCTTGGCCCTGCGTGGAGGCAAATCAGAGAGAGAGAGTCAGTAAATGGAATGAAAATAAAATAAATCAAAACCGCAAAGCCAGCGAAACGGAGCAGAGTTGACAAAAAAAATAAGAAAAGAAATATAACAAAGTAAAAGGCCAGAGGAAAATCACATATAAAATTCGAAAGCGAACGAATGAAATCAAAAAACCAACATAGAGTAACGTGGCCAACACGAAAGAAATCATCACAACTTGCAACTGCAACAGCCATACAGTTTGTAATAGTAATTTGAGGAATTCGAGCCAGTTCCGGCCACTAGGATGAAGGGCAACTATACCAGTCTTGGCACGTACAGTGGGATCAATGCCGGTGGCAATGGCAAAATGTCGCTGGGCAAATCCATCAAAATGTACCTGACCATTTTCATTTTGACCACATGCATTTACATGGCTCTCTATCAGTATCACATATCCCGCGAGCCCTTCGCCGCCAGCGAAGTTGTCAAGGTGAGTGGAGCTCAAATTTCAAAATTTATTTAAATTAATTATTAGGTTTATAAATTAAATTATAATCTAAATAATAAAAAGATAATACGTCTGAGCAGCATGACATTTTTAAATAGTTTGTAAGCCTAGTTAAAATAGGAACAATTAACATGATATATAATTTTTTTAAATATTTAGTAATAAAAATATTGCTACACAATTTAATGGGAAATTTGTTTGTGGGAGTTAATTTTTTGTTACCTTTTTTCTTGGCTAGTGTTTGGTAATGGATTGCTGTCTCTTTTCTAAATGCACTTTACTTTTCCCAATAATCTTGCACAACTTGCCCTATAGTTTATATTCCAAGGTACTTATGTCAAAGGGAATACTAATTTAATAATCTTGTATAACTTCATTTGATAGTCTACAGCGGCAAAACATAATTTAATATATCTGACTTTAAGGTTTAAAGTTTTTGACTTCTGTGACCTTGACCTAAACCATGATATTAACTTATTATCTAAAACTTTGGCCACCTGTGCGATTAAGGCGTGGGAACAAATATTGTTTTTGTGTGCAAAAAAGTAACAAAAGTGCGTGAAACATAAGCAAGCCTAACAACAAGCTTTTAATCAATGAAGATAACATAAATGTGTTATATTTGGGGAAACCCAAAAAGTTCTAACTGAGAAACAGGAAATCATAAAATAACATTTATGTACAGATAATGTACTATATGTGTTATTTTTTTGGCTGTCACAAAATAGATATCAGTAAAAACCGCTAGAAGCACGAATTAATATAGCAGACGCTAAATAGAGAATAAAGAAAGATTAGATTTAAACGTGCTTGGAGTAAAATAAACCAAAAATATCATTAGAAACGTTGGGTTGAGGAAGGTCGTGTTTTTACTGTATAATTCCCAACTATTTTTAGCTATCATCTTAATCACACTTTAGTGCTAACTCTAGAACCTAACTAGACTATATACTATTGTAATGTTTTCTGTGTGTTCTTGTTCTATTTCCTCTGATCCTCTCTATATGAAACCTAATCTCATTGACTACCTAACTTTAGCATCAAGAGAAATCATCGTCATATATCGCTTCATATTTGTGGTCACCCATTTCCTTGCTAATGGCCAATAGTTCCTCAAACACTATTAACAATTCCATAACAACAACAACAACAACAACGACAAGCACAACAACAGCTCCAACAGCAACAACAACTAGAACAGCTGGTCAAAAACTGACTGCCTCCGCCTCCATTCGCATGGTTTCATTAGCTGCCACCATACCCACATTGATAAGTTCGTCATCGGATTTGAGATCGGGATCGTTGGGTGGTCATCCTCAAAAAACTGCAACCACTAAAACTACTACCACGACAACCACAACAACAACAACAGCCAGTGGGTTGGCCACAGCAACATCAACAAGAACAACAACCACAGCTAAAACAAGCGCAAAAACACCTGCGGCTACCACGCCCACTGCCGGGCACATGGAAAACGCTCATAAGACTCGACCAACATTCGTTGCCGCATCCGTGCCCGTAAATATATTGACATAATCATAATCCTAGACGAGCACTTCACTTCCCCACCTCCACCTAAAACACACTGAGAAAAAGACGGCTAAAAATATAATAAATATCTATAAAAAAGCCTTAAAGCGTAAAATACTGTTTCAATAAAAAATCATCTTAAAATAAAATACTAAACTTTAATCCTTCGCTTCAAGAAAGTTAAATATACTAAAATACTAGATACGGATTGCTAGAAATACTAGAAAATCTGTTTACATTTTCGTAAAAATAACTGAAAATCGAACACTGTTTAACTTACTTTAACGTTAAAGATCAAATATCTGTAAACTTCTTGCTACGTTTTTCTCTCAGTGATCTAAAGTTGGAAACACCCACAACTAACCAAACTTATTACACTCCTGCTCCTCCCGCATTTCACATTTTGTGTTTTAATCTTGGAAAGTGCATTTCCAGCTTATCTGCATACTATTTTCACTTGGCTTGTGCATGTCCGTACGAAGTGTTTGTTTGTTGTCCAGTGTTTGTTTGTGTGTCGCGGGTTGGTTGTCATAATACGATAACCGATTGTCGCACTTGTTGCCCTCTCAATGGCCATTGACAACCTGCTGGCAACTCTCTTATCGCTTTTCTTCACCCTTTTTTTTTGTAATTTCCCTAATTGCCATTTGCTAAACGCTATGGGAGTGCTTTTATATTTAGTTGGGGTTGGGAAAAAGGAAAACAAAATGACTAAAAAATAATTTTACTCTCTTTAAGAATACAAACATATATTCAACGTAAAATAAGTTTATGTTACTTTTACTTTTCTTTTTCAGTTTTAAGTTGACAAATATTTGTAAATAATAATTATTCTCTTCTAAGAAATACTTTTGAATATTTTAAGATTATGTATGTAAGATTGCACTTCACCTTAATTACTAATTTCTGCCTGAAACTGGACAAACATAAATGCATATTTAGCAATTATTTAAACTAAGCTGAAACCAGAGCAGGGCAAACAAACAAAATGACAAATGTGTTCTACATTTGGCCAACCGACTTTGCCACTTTGGTACGTTAATTATGGACTCATTAAAGTCCTAAATGGGAATATATTACCAACCACCGACTTGGAATAATGCGAACTCAACACAATGGGACGCTGGGCCGCACAAATTGCAGTGTTTAATTTAGCCAAGTTTTGTTTGGCCAACATGTGCAAATTGGTTGCCGGCTATCCGTATCACGATTTCTGGGTTAATCACATGCATTATATTAACCAACAAGCCACCGCCGCCGTCGCACTAACTGCGGGCGTGCCACTCCAACTGGTGGCAGAACAAAAAGATTCTCATTCACCATTTGGCATGAGCCTAATTTGAAAATTGCTCTAGTGCGTTGCTCACAAAACCAAAACCGCAAAACTGCATCTAAAAAAAGAGTAAACTATATACTATATATATATATAGATAAATTAGTAGCATTGAAAGCAGGCACTGAAAATAAGGGGTGGTCGCTGATCTAGATTCCAGGTTTATGCAAAACACAAAAACCAAGCCAATTGAAAACATTCACGCGCCTTTGTTGGTTTTGTGGCATTTAGTAGCCAGTAGTTGCAGCTACAATCTGCCATTCCAATCCACCCTGCACTCAATGTCAACGGTCAAGCTTATCAGTGATCAGATAAATTTCTTTTTTAAAGGATTTTCTGGAAATTCAATAGCTTGGAAAAATGTATTGGTATTGGAAATGACCCAAAAAAGGATTTTTACCTAAACTTACTAACTTTAATGTCTTAATCTGTAACCCAACAATATTTAAAGTTTAATAAAAATGATCTATCTGGTAGATAGAATAGAAAACTAGCAATGATAAAGGGGAGCTATCAAATGAACTCTTCTGATATTGTGAAAACTGAGCTAATTTGCATGTTATCTCCGCCCCTTGATCCCTTCCACGTAGTTTCATTTGAATATCCGAGTTTATTTTGCAAAATAAATTTAAATGCATTTTCTTTTTTTTGTATTTGTTTGATATTTTCCACCCCCTTGCATGTGGTGGGTGGGTTGATGGTGGGTGCATGTGTGTCAACAATGGACAATTTGCAAAGTGAGTGCGCCAGTTTATTTATTTTCAACGTCAGTGTCGTTCAATGGGCCATGGGTTCACAGGCGCAACATATCTAGAACGGGTGTTTGATGCCACATGTGTGTTGGAGAGTCCACTGTGAGAAAATATGACTAACAGTTGTATAGGAAAATATTAATTTGTAACCTCAAGTAGAAGGTATTATTTCCTTACTCCTTAAAAGAGATCTTTTTTTTGTAAATTTTGCTTTAAAAGAAAATAAAATTGCTAGCTTTTTCTCTCAGTGAATTTGACTAGCGAAATGCGACCCATATTGCTTAACCAGAGCCTAGACATACTGACTTACGGCAATGATGGGCGGATGTGGCTAGCTTGCTTTCGCCTAGTCAAGTCATTGGGCTGTAAATTAATTTGCATAATTGCTCATAAAAAGAAGCTCACGCCGCATTACGCACCACCCACTGGCACCTAACGAGGCACTCAGCCACCCAGCCACCTAGCCACCTAGCCACCCAACGACCCAACTAACCCAGTAACCAGTCCAAGTGCAGTGCACACATACACGCACACAGATAGAAACAACGTTAGATAACCTAATGACACTCAACTCAAATCAACTCGACCCACAGCCGCCCCTGTACATAATCACGCCCACCTACCGACGACCCGAGCAGATGGCGGAGCTTACCCGGCTGGGTTATACCCTGAAGCATGTGGTGAATCTACTTTGGCTGGTCATCGAGGATGCCAACATAACGAATCCATTGGTGTCCCATACTTTGGATCGAATTGGTGTGCCCTATGAGTACATGTTGGGTGAGTACTAGTTCCTTACCCAGACTCTAGCCCAGTGTCATGTCCTGGACACATTCAAGTGATATTTACGAGTCACTACATCGCACCCATTTCCATTAACCATTTACCATTTCCTTTGCGATTTTCCGTAGCGCCCATGCCGGAGAAGTACAAGCAGACGAAGAAGGCCAAACCCCGTGGCGTCTCCAATCGGAATCGAGGGCTTGAGTATCTGCGGCAACATGCCACCGAGGGAGTGCTCTACTTTGCCGACGACGACAACACCTACGACATTAGCATATTCGAACAGGTATACCTATTGAAAGGAATAGCAGTAGTAGCAGCAGCAGCAGGTGGGCGGGTTGTCCGTTTTACTTGCCCTCTGACCTACCCAGTACATAAACCACAATTTACACGAATTAGGGGTCAAAGGCTGCCCATTCCAAATCAATAGACGATAGATAAGGGCCACCGTTGCCACGCTTTTGGGTAGAATGTTAAACAATTGAAATTGATGTTTAAGGATCAGAGTCAAAGATGTCAGGAATGGGGGTTTAAACTTTCTTTCTTTTCTTAAATCTTAAATCTTTCTTTTAGTTTACAATCAAAAACGTATCTTAGTCGAGAAACTATCTCAGTTTTTAATCCTCTTTTGTATATTTTCTGTCTCCCAGATGCGCTACATCACCAAGGTGGCCATGTGGCCCGTGGGGCTGGTAACAAAGACCGGCGTAAGTAGTCCCATAATTCAGGAGGGCAAGCTGGTGGGCTTTTACGATGGCTGGATCGGTGGACGTAAATATCCTGTGGATATGGCCGGATTTGCAGTAAACGTTAAGTTCCTGAAGGAACGGCCCAACGCCCAGATGCCCTTTAAGCCGGGTTACGAAGAGGACGGCTTCCTCCGTAGTCTGGCGCCGCTGGACAATAAGGAAATCGAGTTGCTGGCCGACGACTGTCGAGATGTGAGTTGGTTTTTTATAATTAAACATTTAAATTTAAAAATTTACATAATAATTTGTTTTTAATCTTCAAGGTTCTTACGTGGCACACGCAAACGAAGAAGAACGCCCCCGCCCAGGAGCTGAACAGGACGCGCTACAAGAACACAAACCTGGAGTATATAGACAAGCTGCTGGTCCGCCCATAGGGACATTGACTGTAGTTAGCTAGTTAGGCTTAGCTAGGCAATGCTCATCGTATTTACGGTGGCTTGCTAAAACCATTTTGACCGTGGCTCTGACGGGTTGTACTGGTACAACCCGGCGCACGGAGAAACCAATCAGATTTGATCAGATCATTAGTCGGTGTACATTATTATCATAATCATACGGAGTAGTTAGGCTCTAAGCGCACACACACACGCACCTCTATGATATATAGTTCACGGCACCGTAGGCTTTGTTTGACCCCGTACACGTATTCCTAACGTACGCACATCTAAAAAAATACCTTAAGTAAAAGTATTGTATCATATCGCTGCGTCCATGACTATTTTGTAAATAATCGCAATGATTAATTTAAGCTACAAGTTTATTTTACACTCTAAGTTAAAAAAAAAAACGCAACGAATTGGATAAGATGTTCCTAGACCAAAGAAAAGGCAGCCCCTTAAGTTCTGCATTCAAACCATTCCCTAGGGGAAAATTCAATCACCAAAAGAAAGCAAGGACTTCCTTATTCGTGTGAGTTCAAGGTCGGAAGCACAACAGCAATCAATTAGGGCAAGGTGTCAACAAAGACTTATTTCCCCGAAATCCTCCTGCAACCGGGGCAAGCGTTTCAATAATTCATGCCGACATATGGATGGTTCGTTCTAGGGGCGAGTGGCACAGATAAGTCGCCTCTTTCCACCAGCGAAACCAAATCGCGTGCCTCACTAAAATTGCACGAAACAAAAAAAAAGAAAGAAAAATTGGATACAAACAGGACGAAGGGGACATAGTTTAAACATTGTAATGGCTCCTGCTAATGGGACTGAATGGCTCAAAAGTTTGGCAAAATCAATTTTATTCCAAACACTGCACGAGTTTTATGTGTTGAATGAGAACTCTTATTTTGAATATGCCTAAGAAAATGCGTTTCTTTTCTGATTTTTCCGAAACGGGTTTCCAAAGCAACACTTTGTGCACACTATTCTTATAAGTAAGTTAAGTTTATAAAGAAAATTTATATTGAAGTTATGAACTGCACTGAAAAATCGCCTACTACATGTAAATAATAATCACCAAATATTGTAACCAAATTTTTACACATCCCCCAGCAAAGGCAGGGACAATGCGCAGGGATGGGAGGAAACTATGACAAATGGTATTACGAAATTTATACAATTTATACAATTGAATATGGAATATGGAATACGATAAGCCGCAAAGCAATTAGTTAGGTACTTATAAAAATCTTAAAAAAAATATAAATAAATATTAACAATCGAGTATGAAAGAGAGCTCGCAAGCAAGTAACTTAAAAACTTTTCAAGAATATCGAAAAAAAAAATGTTTCAAATGAATACTAAAGATACAGAAATACGTCTAAAACTATTCTCTTATTCAAGTAAACTAAAAGATACAATGTTTAAACCTGACAGGACTTATAGCAAGGAACTTCAATCATTTTTTAACAAAATACAAAATACCTTTCAATAAATTGATAAACTTTTCTTAAGAATTTTCAAAAGTAAACCATGTTGTTTTATTCCTTTCCCCAACAAGAATTATTTTTCAATTTAGAGAGATTGTACATGGGTGTTTTTATTTTGGAACAAAATCTTGCAAATATATATATCATCGAAAAGTGCGGAGTTGGAGTAATCGAAGCATGTTGGTGATCTACATAAAATCTGATAATATTATATCATCTAGTGGCTTCAGGCGGCAGCATCAATCAACTGGTTTAGAGTCCTGCAGTCGCTCATCCCGTAAAGAGAGGCCTCATCCAGGCAGATTTCTGAAGGTTGTTCATAAATCTGCCTTAGCTCGTTGGCATTAGTTTAGATACTTGGAATATTTTACGTGTATTTACCATCGCCGTTTTGGTTCTTAATCTTCATTTTTCAACCATTTATATCTTTTTCAAATACCAATAAGGATTTTCCATCGGACAGTCAGCAACAGTAGAATTTTACTACATTCAGTGCTAGCTAAATTATAATCTCTTGTGCATCATCTAGTAAGCTTACATTATATGGCACTAATCTGGGTAAGTAATTAAAACTATAAAGCTAAAAGTTGGAGTTCTTATGAGTAATCTCAAAAGGGAATTTTTCATTACTTTAATTTTGCTACTTTCAAATGGAACTTACTTGTTTTTTGTTTGCGAATAAAAACTGTTTATATATTGATTAGATTTTATAAATAGTATTTAAGTTCCTTAGTGCATTGGTCATTCGCCAAGAAAGTCGATTTATATCATAGACCAAGAGACAACATAACAAGCTTACATGCTTTTGATCAAGTAGGAAATGGTTAACTAAAAAATAACATAAATATGATAAAAGGTAATCTAAGTATCTTTTCTGATCCATAAATAACTTTAAACCAAAATTTCAAGAATAATATTAATAGACCTTTAGTTTATGATTTAGTTCTTCTCTAAGCTGATCTAATGAAACTAAAAACAAAATCTAACTAATCTTTGATGACATCTCTTGTGCTTAAATGTGAATCGTTCTAACTTTAGCAAAGGAGTTTCTATAACTTTTACGTTCCTGGGATTCTACTGCGTGGTACTAAAAAGATAACTCAACATCGATGGCTGCACGTGAAAGCTTATAGTTGCCTCTTCCCACTTGGTACGAATCAGACGCTGCAACGGCGTGTTGAGCGTCGACTCCTCCTTGGCGACCACATCGTTACCACCGCTAGCGCCACTAGCAGCACCACCAACACCGCCGCTAGCGCCACCCACACCGCCGCCGGCACCAGCACCTCCTCCACCGGAAATGGCCGTTGGCGACGTAGCGCCGCCTCCGCCCTCCTCTTTTCCGGACATCGAGGTACTCTCCGGCGTGATTGGTTGCCGCTCCAACATGACCAATGCCTGTTCGTTGTACGTCCGATTATCGATGGTCATCAATATCTGATGACCCGAACAGCTATAGTAGTTCACATCGAAACGCGACTCAGCATGGTAGTTGCGCAGCAAATCCGGATTCTTGTTGAAGATTACGCCGTAGTGTCCCGTGCAGCTGGTTATCCAGATGGGATAGTTGGGCGTCTTCAAGCGGGAACCCGGCTGACGACTCTGATTAACAGCAGCCTGTTGTGAGAAATGTACCAGAAATGTATATTTTTAATACTTAAAACAAAAAATATACTTAAAATTTATAAATAATTTATAAAAATGTAGTAAAATTCTTAAAGAAAAGATAATAACTTTTTAGATTAATTTACTTACACTAGCCGATTCAATGTCCCAAAGAAGTAGACCAATCATGCAGCGCTTAAGGACTCCATATTGAGGAACTGCCTGGAAAAATAGAATTAAAACCATGGTCATACAAAGATCTTATAGGACTATCTCCTGATCTCTGGCTACCCACATAGCTACTCTCGTCTCCCACATTTACAACACCATTGTGTATGTAGGGCGTCGCACGACCCGTCAGCAGCAAAGTGACAATCATTAGGGAACCCTCCTCATGATTACTGGAAGTCAAGGGCGAGGATTTGGCAGAGTCCAGATCGGTTCGAACTCTGTAAAGATATTCGAAAGTATTCACCGCCGAAAGGTAAATTTAGAGTGATTATAAAGAAAAGGTTCTCTGAAACGTAGCAAAAGCATTCGCAATATACAAACACTTGGGGCTAATCTTACTTTCCCATGGATCGCGTGAGGACGGCGCTATAAAGGAACAGCAGGGTGCCCGGGGTCTCCTCCTCTGTAAACTTTTAGGTGGGTTAAGTGCAAACTGTTTGATCAAATAGGCTGGGCAAGTAAGTAGTTAACTATCTGGGTCTTACGTATTTGAAATTTCGCTTCAAGAAGTATTCCAACTCCTCGTTGGGTGATAGGGTAAAGACATAGAGCTGAGAGATTATATAGAACGTATACTTTATATAGTATTTTAATGTGTTTTAAGCTACGAAGCAAAATAACTTATAGTGTCTATACAATCAATAATAATATATTATGCAATAACGGCACCTACTTTTTCGGTTACGGAATCGTGAAAGTAACAGGCGCTGTGCTCCACGAACACCTCGTCCTCCGAGGGTAGAACAATGGTGACCTTGCCCTTGTCCGAGATGGTACGCAGGATCTCTAAGAGGGCGCAGAACAATGCTTCTCGTTGCATTTCAGCTGTGGCCAGGAGTGGGCTGAAATCAAAACACAGGTACTCTGGATAACCCACTCAGACTCGCACACAGCCAAACCGGAAACGGAAGTGAAAAGGGGAAATGGAAACGCACTCTGTAAGCGAAGCAACGCGACTGGTCTTCCGGGCAAAGAGCAGATACTTTAAGACAAATCCCTGGACGACAGACAAAAGTCCACGGGTGGCATTTCGAGGCGAACGGAGACCGTAGGCCAGCTCCTCCTTTGGAGCGCCAAACACAAACGATGTCTGAAGCCATTCGGCTCGCATGGGAATGGCGGCGGTACCGAAAACCAGATTACGCAGATCCTAAACGAAAGCAAATCTGCTGGATCAAATCGCATCCGGATGCGGATAACTACTAATTACCGTGGCCAATTCAGTGGTAATGGGCGTACCGCCCTGTGTGATGAACTCTTTGTTCATTTTTTGTTTTTTGTTTTTTCTAATTAGCTGCTGATTTCCGTTTCCGCTAGAGACCTTTGCTCCACTCTGCGACTCGTTGGCGAATGATTTCTCGACGAGCACGGTTCCGGGCTCCAAGTCGAGCCACAGCTGGTAGAGCGTTTGGAGGTGGAGGCGACGGCAGACAGCTAGCTCCTAGGCATTTCACACTTCAGCATGGATTTTTAATTTCATATTTAGCCGTGGGCGCACGGGGCGTATGCGCAACTAAACAGAAGTCAGGTGGCAGTTAGTTACAGTGGGCCTGATTAAGATTCTGTTGCATTTTATAACGTTTTTACTTCTGTTATAAAAATATTAGATACTTACTAGATTTTTATTTTAGAATACATAATATTTTAGAAAATCTATAGAAAATCAGATGGGTAAACAGAATTATTGATTTCTAGCCCACTGTGCTGGGTTTTAGGCTTAGGCTGAGAGGGTCGTTCGCTGTCTGTCAGTCAGCGAAAGTAACTTTAAATGAAATTGAATTGAATTTAGTTCTGTGTGCGGCACACGAAACTCGATGTATGTGGCACAAGAAGTGAAAGTGTTACGTCGGGACGAGACGGAGACGGAGACATGGGACATAGGACATGGGCTTGGCCATAGGTGGAGGTTATATTCAACTGGAATCTGGCATGTTGCACAGAGCCTGTCAGGGTGCTCCACACAACCGGAAATATGTAGTTGACGCCCATTTGTGCCTATTCCGAGGCAGGAACACCTGTACCAATGCCGTCGTGTGTGCATTACTGGGTGTTAATATTCCAATGATAAACTCTGTAAAGACATTCCAGAGGCCACCGCAGTATTGCTCAGTCATTTTAAATTTAGACAGCACTCGTGTTTCAGGCTCTCTCGATTGATTTGTTGAATTTTTGGGCGGACCTAAATGGAAGTGAAAGTGGCCCAATAACTGAGGCTGATTGGCTGTCTGGCTAGCTGCCTGGCTGGTTATAACCTTGGCCAAGTCGCCGCGAATTTTATTAAAGTCCCAGACTTGGCATGCACAACCCAGTGAATGCCGCATTCACTAAACGACTAAAAGCTGCTAAGGTGTCAAAAATGATCTGGCTTAGCCAAAGTGTTGAAGGATAGCTACTTGAAGGGTTGTTAAGCCTAAAAAAAATCTTTTTCCTGTCAGTTAATTTTCACTGTTTTGATAGGCAGTAAAAAACTAAAATTAAATACAATTCGCTTAAAAATTTATTCATACGTCCTCAACCAAAAAGCATCATAAAGGCATAAATACTTTGCATATAATCTTACAATAAATATTATCATTTCACACCATATAAAACCCTATTCCTGACCTATTCTCTAGCATATTCATTGTCATGATGTCATTGGAATTGCAATATGCCAGAGAATAAGCTAGTATAATATAAATATTTATAAAAACATTTACCTTAAAAACTACATTTTAAACTAATGATTTAGGTCGACCTGTTTCGGCACTCATCTCAACATCTCTGGCTCTGGGGGTTGCGTAATTTCCCTCATTACGGTTCTAGCCGAGGCAGGAGCACGACCCATCAAATATAGGATATTGAAATACCAGTCAATGAGACGTAACTTAAAGGCTGAGCAAAACAAACAGTATTCAAAGTAGATACGCCGTCTTAGCCAGTGGAAATATTGCACGGGACTTCGTCCACTCTGCTGCATATAAAGACACTTTTGGGCATATCGTGCCATCACCCGGGGACGATTTACCACGTCTCCGTGCTGATGGCTAATTGCTCGCACCGTGTTTAGATTACGGACCTGCAATAGAAAGGTCAACGGTTTAGGAATGGTCGAAGATCTTGATAGACTTAGTACTCACCACAAACAACATGCTTCTGGGCATCTCCTTCAGTGTGCCCATAATATGCTCAAAATTATTCCTAGCTATCTCCTGCATATGATCGATATCCTCCTGCGTCAGTTTACCCCTTATGCTGCCTCCTCGATTTCGAATAGGTTGTTGGAAGAGTACTTCGGCGAAGCGCATGTAGTCGCCTATTCCGATCTTCTCGGCGGCGCTCTGCATCTTGGCCTCATCGCGCAGAACTGTAGCCTCCCAGAATTCGCACAGTGGTCCGCGCACATTTTGAGGCAGTTCTTCGTAAAGGCCATGATCCAACAGGACAATGTCCGCTCGGCCATTTTTATTATTTTTACGCACAAAAACTAGAGAAAATTAAAAAAAAAAACATTTAAATAGAAATTATAAAAGTGTTATTTTGAAAAGTTAACCCACTGTTTCCTGGATGAGGATCGGCATGTACGAAGCCAGTGTAGAATATCTGTTCAGCAAAGGTCTCAAAGAGCTTAACATCGATGTCCTTCAAGCAGAGCTTTTCTCTTTCTATTGTCTTAAGATCGTTGATCTTACATCCGTCCATCCACTCAAGAGTCAGGACGCGCTGGATGATATATAGAAATATAAATATATTGAATATAGTATGGTGATCCAAATATCTAATGGATACTCACCGTTTTGGTATGCGACCAGTAGACTTTAGGAACATGGACATATTTGAACTTTTTCATATCCGTGGCACACCGTTCTGCATTCCGACCCTCCTGTAAAAAGTTTAGCTCCAACACCAAATTCTTTCGCAGATCATTCAAGATCCAACCGAAGTTGTAGTCCTTGAAAAAGAACTCAACAATGTCCTGAAGGAAGATTATGGTGCCTAGGTCGCTGATGAAACGTTTCTGGAGATCATTGTACTGCACCTTGACGGCAACTTGCTCACCACTGGGCAACTTGGCTTTGAAAACCTGCGCCAAACTGGCGGCTGCCACAGGTTTGTAGTCAAACTCTTGATAGATCTCCTCGGGTAGCTGACCAAAGTCCTTGCGAAAAACTTTCTGCACATCCGCCTGGGTGGTTGGCAAACAGCGATCCTGCAGCAACGACAGTGTGCTGGTGTATTCCACGGGTAGGATGTGATTGATGGCGGCGAATCCTTGCCCAACTTTGATGTACAGACCGCCGTTCAACAAGCATGTCTCCAACAGACGATCGGCGCTCTTTTTGTGAAGCACTTTCACCTTCGTTTCGTAATCCGGATCATTCTCGTCCAGTTGTAAATAGTCAGCTGCTATTAATCCAGCAGTTTTTAGAGACCGAACGAATCGCACCGAAGCTCCGCAATAGGTGAAGTCGTTTACTATCCCATCGTAAGCCAACGCACCTGCTCCGGCTGCTAGGAGACTCAATCGGACCACGGGAATACCGCGTTTCTGGACAGGCACTTCTCGCTGGCCATGGAGAAGTCTTCTGTCCAGAATACGGCTTCCCACGCTCAACAGCTGCCGCGCACGCTGAAGGATGGAAAATATCCGGATTTATTAGTCATTTGGTACTTTAGGATTACAAAACTCACCTGAAGAGGTCGCATTTTTCGTCCGCGCGCTGCAAAGTTCACCCAAACTTTAGCCTTTGGCCACCTGTCGCGATATCAGCTGACGAGTCCGAACAGCTGTTTGTGGAGCCGCCGTCGTGATGATAACAACAATGCGATGATGGGGCAACATCGCCAACGCCTTCGCTCATTTGGCGGTTTAAGAAATTAAATGTTTTTCCGTTTTGTCAACTGACAGGTTATGTGTGTCAAAAATAGTTTGTATACTTTGATAGACAAAGCATACTTGAAATTGTATGAATCTACATATACTAAGAAATTGGCCTATAAACATAATTAAAACTAATTAGATATATGTAGATAAAACTCAGGTTTTCTAGTTAAGTTCCGCCGATTTAGTTCAGACTGCAAGACATTTTATGCTTGTCAAGATGCTTTATTTGAGTTCTTAGTTTCGACATTTTTACAAAAAGTATTCCGCCTGTGGTACCTTTGTGGGACGTTTTCGATTGTCCGGAGTAGCGGCATCAAAGATAATAAAACTGCGCCTGAGCGCCTCATCCAATTCTAGGATGGAAGCCACATTGCCGCAACTTTCGGTAAATACCAGAATTGTTATTGCAGAGTTTATATCTTGGATATGGAGAACTCACCGATAGCAGTAGTTAGGAGCTGACCATACAGTCAGAACAGATTTATTGAAATGCCACTTATAGCCAGTCATTGCCAGCTGGTGGGCGCGGCAGATTAAGTCCAAGTCGTTATCGTGTCTGAACCGGTCGACTACATCAGATCCAAAGAGGTAACCAGCCCCACGAGGCGACATTTCCCAGCCCTCCTGATCCTCAGGATCGCTCCAAAGCAAATCGCACATTGGTCCCTCGTGCGGTACCTCCTGTTTGCGATCAAGACAATGGATCTGGTTTAGATACTGTATGGAAGGAGACAGTCCACCGTGGACGCAGAACACCTTGCTATCAATTAAGGCAGCTGGACTGAGGTAGTCAAAGAGATCCGTGCAGAATCGCCAAACGCTCGATGAGCCGAACTTTCGCATGCACTCGTCGTAGAATCCATAAACCTGGGTGATTTGGCGCGTCTCGTGATTCCCGCGGATCAAGGCGATGCGATCCGGATGGCGCACCTTCAGGGCAAGGAGAAGAAGGAAGGTCTCCAAGCTGAAGTGGCCTCTGTCCACGAAGTCGCCCATAAAAAGGAATTTCTCTTCTGGCACACGGCCGGCAACCTTGAACAGCTCTAATAGGTCGTAAAATTGGCCATGCATGTCGCCGCACACAATTACTGGTGCGTTCAAGCGCTGCACATTACCGTCCTCCACTAGTATTTCGCGGGCCTTGGCGCACAGGATCTGGATCTCTGATTCCTCAAGAGCCTCGCAGCGATACAGTCGCTCAATCTGGCGGTCCAGATCGTTTTTATCAGTCATTGCAATATTTGAAGAATTGGAGAACAGTTAATAGAGCTTTGAGACTTGTTTAGAAATATTTTTGACAAGGCTACTTGCTTTGACAAGCTTCGGTTGTGCCTTGTGAATAATTTTGCAAGGCTACTTTCTATGACGTTAAAACAATTGCTTCTTGTGGTTATTTTAAATTAATGTTTCTAAATTTAAGATAAATGTGATTAAATTATTGATTTTGATTTAAATGCATAAAAGTTATGGTAATATGTGGAATATTTGTTTTTTATTTTATCGATGGGATAAGTTAATATTTATTAAGTTCAACACAGGGGTTTGGAACAAATGTATAATATTGTTGTTTGTTTTATTTTAAATTCAAAATAATAAAACTTAACCGATTGCGGTTTTGGCAAATACCAATTATCTTTTCAGTATATTTTAATTGGCGTCCGGTATATTTGAATTAACCAAATACGGTCATGCTGATTTGTAGTTTCATTGTTGTTGGCTTGGCTCTGGATTTTTTCTGTTTGCGGCAACGGCGGCGCGTTTGAAGTACGATTCCCAAGTGCAGCAAATTGTTTACATTGTGTGCACCTATTTGTACTCACAAATTGAAGGCAGGGCAGTAAACCAGTGAGATCAGACTCCTCGAATAACCAAGATGTCGGGCACCATACTGGAGAACCTAAGCGGTCGGAAGCTGTCCATATTGGTAGCCAGTTTGCTGCTCTGTCAGGTGCTGTGCTTCTTGCTGGGTGGTCTTTATGCTCCCTTGCCAGCCGGTCATGTCACCGTATTAGGATCGCTGTGCCGAGAGGATCACGCACGTCAGAATGATACTGGATTCTTGTTGTACTCCCGCGGAGCAGGTGCCTGTATTCCCGTGACCAGGGAGGAAGTAGAGCGAGATTCAATGAAGATGGCCAACGAGTTAGTCCATGTATTCCAGATGCCGCTACCACGTGACCTTCGCGATTTGGACTACTCTCGATGGCAACAGAATCTCATTGGTGTGCTACAGGTGGAGTTTGGATACGATTCCACATCGGAGCTAAGGGAGCCGCCCAGAGAACTCCAGCTGACCATCGACATGCGTTTAGCTTACCGGAATAAAGGAGATCCGGATAATGGTTGGAAGTTGTATGCCCATGGCGTGGAGCACCGCTATCTAGATTGTGCTTCTTCTCATGTCGGCCCCACAGAGACACTCTATTCCTGCGACATGATCCCATTGTTTGAACTTGGGGCTCTCCACCATAGCTTCTATCTGCTCAACCTACGATTCCCGCTCGATACTCCACGTCAGATGAATTTACAGTTCGGCCACATGCACGATCTCACACTGACCGCCATTCATCAGAACGGAGGATTCACTCAGATCTGGCTTTTGCTTAAGACTGTTCTGTTTCCCTTTGTGGTTGGAATCATGATCTGGTTCTGGAGGCGGGTGCATTTGCTGCAGCGATCTCCAGCGCTGTTGGAGTACATGCTCATCTATTTGGGAGCCGCTCTGACCTTCCTCAACCTGCCGCTTGAATACTTATCACTGGTCTATGAAATGCCTTATATGCTACTGCTGAGTGACATCCGCCAAGGCATATTTTATGCTATGCTGCTGTCCTTTTGGCTGGTCTTTGCCGGAGAACATATGCTCATTCAGGATGCACCTAATAAGTCGACTATCCGTTCGCGCTACTGGAAGCATCTCTCGGCCGTCGTTGTGGGCTGCATCTCGCTGTTTGTGTTCGACATCTGTGAAAGGGGGGTCCAGCTGCGTAACCCATTCTACTCAATTTGGACAACTCCACTGGGCGCAAAGGTGGCTATGACCTTCATTGTGCTGGCTGGAGTTTCAGCGGCCATTTACTTCCTGTTTCTGTGTTACATGATCTGGAAGGTATTCAGAAACATTGGCGACAAGCGCACCTCCCTTCCATCTATGTCCCAGGCCCGTCGACTACATTACGAGGGTATGTTATCTATCGTCTATTTTTACTCTCGACCTAAAATAACTATTGATGTAAAATATTATTTTTTTCGATTCCCTGTAAGTCAAGACAATATCTCCGTTTCAAGATAGATACTTTTTAATATTTTTTAATTTGATGTAACATCCATATTTTTTTTGGAATGCCGTTTAGTTTACATTGATCAACCAATAGCACATTGGACAGAAATAGCAGTTTTTTACTGGACAACTTTTACTGTGCTTTGTGGTCTTGTTGTGCAGCTTTTTATTTCTGTAGTTAATAAACCTAAGGAAGATAAAGGTATGACGAAGCAAAACTGAATAATGAATTCATTGTTGTACTTAAAACCTCGAACCAAACTAAATAATAACTCTAATTCAAAGTGTACTCATATATATTTTAATGTGCTAATACGCTAAGACTTTTAAAATACCTATTAACGTAAGAATAAACAATTTCAGGCCTCATTTACCGATTCAAGTTCTTGATGCTGGCCACCCTTGTATGTGCTGCACTGACTGTGGCAGGTTTCATCATGGGACAAATGGCCGAGGGTCAATGGGACTGGAATGACAACGTAGAGATTCAACTTACCTCTGCTTTTCTGACCGGCGTGTACGGCATGTGGAACATCTACATATTCGCCCTGCTCATCCTCTACGCCCCCAGTCACAAGCAATGGCCAACAATGCACAACAGCGATGAAACCACGCAATCCAATGAGAATATCGTGGCCTCGGCTGCCAGCGAGGAGATCGAGTTTAGCCACCTGCCATCAGACTCCAATCCCAGCGAGATCTCCTCCCTCACCTCGTTCACCCGCAAGGTGGCCTTCGATTAGGCTGGGACATTTGAAATATTAATATCGATTTCTAATGGGTTGTGTGCCAAACTGAGATCACGATTTGGCCTGCAGCCGTAACGCTCCAAGTGTGTGCTCATTTTATTACCATAGTCAGTAGCATTTTCTTGCCTAGTTTTGCATTCTGTGCATTCGACAACGCGATCAGCATTATTACTTAACATTAACGTATAGATTGTCTAGTTTCTCTCAGCATGCTCAAAGTGTACGATTTTATCTACTGTATTTTTTATGTATGCCCCGGCAGTATTATCTATTGAAGTCCAATTCACTAGCTCGTAAGTTTTAACATATTTATCGAATAACATTTTTTATATACATATTTACATTATAAGATGGTCCTTTTTTAATTGACAAAAAAAAAGTAAGAGTATAACGTAATCTTTACCTTGGCAACTATATGTTAAAAAATAAGGTTGGTCTTTTGGTATCTTTTGAAACCGAAAGACTTATGTCAATCATAGATTACGTTAAACTAATACGATTTTTTATTTATTTACATTCACCACCCTTTAAATATCTATCAACAGGACTCTGCTTAGATTTTTAAACTAAAACGTAGAGCAATTTCATATTCAAGTAGCAATGCATCGAATAAAAAGCAATATTGAAAATGCCGAGCGGTTTTATTTTGTAAATGCCAAAAAACGTATGTATTATTTCGATCTACGCTTTTAGTTTGTAAGGAATGCAGGTTGCAGGAACTACCAAATGATCCTTTGAGGAGCGCGGTAATTTTGCCAGTAGAACTCTTTGGTGAAGTACACATAAAATGTGGCCACATTTAGGAGCAGATGGGCCCCAAGTTCCAACCACTCAGCGTAGCCCTTGCGAGTGTATCTCGTGTTCAGCCGGAAGAGTATGTAGGGCACTAGGAAGTATCGCAGCTCTAAGAGCCGCTGGAAGCACAGCACTAGGAAAAGACTGAGCGGGAACATCAACTTAAAGCTGTCCGGCATGTGACGAAGTCCGCAGAAAAGTACGTAAATAGAGAACAGGTATACCGGTGCCATGGCGTAGCGGAACCACCAGAATCGTCCGTAAAGACGGCTCCAAACGTAGAAGGTATAATGCCTGTTGTCGGCTAGTAGATATGGATGCACCTCAGTGTTTAGGTGCACCACCAGCATTATTAGCAGCATCGCCAAGATGGATAATACGCGGTTTCTACGGATTAGATCCGCTGCCGGACGAAATTGGCGTATGGTATTTGATATTCCAAATCCAGCGGCAAAGACAGCGAAGTAGAAGAGCTGCGGTATATGCAAACTGGCTTCGTGAGCACTCTTGTCACCCACCACAATGGATCCATTGATGAACAAGAATCCCACAAAGGGTAGAATGATTGAAGCGTAGAAACAGCATTTCGCCAAGATGCTTAAAATGCAATTACACAGTAATTGGGGGCTACTGAAAAGCTGTATCCATAACTGAAAATATAGAAAAGTAAACAAATGAGTGTTTATACAATGCTACAAAAAAATATGAATCTATATACAAACTTTGCAATGAATACTTTAATTTCTAAGAATGTAAGGTGTGGCAAGTAAAATTTTAAAGTAACTACATTTGTATTGCAATTTATATCAGGTTATGACATATTTTTAAGAGATAACTCACCTGCTTGCCCAATAATTGAATTTTATCCTTGGGAACGGCCTTAGTTCGAGCGCATTGATGTATCAAGGTGTCCAGCACGGTCATCCCAGTGGCCATGCAGATCCACACGATATTTGTCTGACGCATAAGCACACTGGCGGCTCCAAAAACCGCCGCCGGCAGATGTGCCTCTTGTTGCCAATAGTTATAGAACATGAGCACCATGGTCAGCGACAGGGTGTCCGTGTAGTATAGATGGCTGAAGAAGTAGAGTGGCGGAAGCACAGACATCGTGATAGCCTCATGGGCAGCATACGAGTTACCCCCAGAGCCGGCTAGGATACGCCTTCTGATCTTGTAGAGCAGAAGGATATTGATACCGGCACCGGCCAAGCTAAGCATCCTCAAACCAGTCACTGTGCATAGGTTAAAAGGATTGAGAATAAGGGTTATCAGGTACAGGCCCGGAAACGTTGTTATTTTGGGATCCCACTAAAGAAGAAGACAGGATGTATGGTGTCTGGTATATGTAGTACGTAACTCAACTACTAACTACATCAAATTCTTTGCGGCAAAAGGCCAATCCCTGTGGGATGTGAAACTCCTCGTCGATTACATAGTCTGAGGTGCCGTTCACCCGCAGGAACAATGGCAGCGAATAGAGTACAAAGCCCACAGGCAGAACCAGTTTCCAGGAACCATTCATGGCAGGGGATCTTCTTCCTTCTCCGCCTTTCAAAAGAGAGCTCCAATTGTTTGGGTTTGTTTATTTTTGGACCGAACCGAACCAGCTGGCAATGCGCTGGAATTCACTAACGCGTTTCCCGGAAAGAAACGGCATTAAAATATACTGAGCAAAAATACCATCCGCGTTATTAAGGGGACTCTCAAAATTATTTTTTTGGGTTTCTCATTTCTAACCTTAGTTGTATAAAATTTTAATTTGATTTTCTGCAGGATTTAAAAATCCAAAAAAAGAATTGTTTTTCATCTACAGGTGTACGGTCTGACTTGAAGTTTATAAGTTGTTTTATATCAGTAATAATATTGTCATAAAATAAGTTTTAAAAAATGAGTTTAAAACTATTGGATTTGAACTATGACTGCAGACTTCCATTTTAAGCTGTTTGCCCTTAATGGATCATTTGCCCTTCTTCCATGTTTGTAGTCGCTTTCATAACATTTTTAAGGATTATGGCAGGAGCTTCTATAAGGAAATATAACTTTCCCAAATCCAAGACGAGTTAATACCGGTTCGAGTTGTTGGTGATCGAGTTAAAAGTCTATACTACAAATATTACCCGGATTTTGTTGAAAATGTGCTTAAGATTCTATCCAAAGCGATAAGTTTACTGGTGAGCCTGGAGCATGTTACATATAATAACATATAATAACGTAATATTTCAATACAGTGAGTTCTATAACATGATAAATAGACCTCGAGCACGAATGTGGGTACCATCTCCCAGAAGATTCTGCGGATGCTTCAGGCATGTAACATCAGTATATCAACACACGACTGGGAGATTATGAAATTAAAGCCAAACAACGGGTCCAGAAACCAGGTGGTTCTTTTTATAAACGTGGTGTCACTGGATCAAATTATAGCCGCTAATAACACTCTGAGACTCGCCACCAATGACTGGTCACAAAAACCGAAATAAATAAATATCTGGAAAATTTGATCTGTTTCACATTTAAGGCTGGTAACTGAGCCATAAGTCTAGTCTTCACAGAGTCTCTCTAGATAGTTAATGTGAACCCATCGCCATTGAGCAGCGATATCTATTGGAAGGTATTCGAGGTGCTATCAAAATACTTTTCAGGTGAGTCATTTCGATATAATTAATTTTAGTTATTTTTGCAGTTGATTTACTTACAGAAAAAGGAATTTTATCCCTACATACGTTCAATTCCTCTTTAATTTGGTTTCGTCTACCTATATATCTGACCTATATACATATGTATATATATGTACATATTTTTTAAAACACCATCAATGAACTTATGATCAAAATATCTCTCATGAAATCCATTAGTTATATATCCCAATAAGATTAACTATTACTCTTGTGAACTTTATAAGGTTTTTTATTCATTAGGCATTTGAATATACATTTCGAACTTTAACATAGAGTACATACAAACAGAATGTTTAACAAACAGTACGACTTAATGACTACCAAATATCCAGGGCCCAGAAGCAACTGGAGGATCTAACTGATAATGCCTTTAAAACTGTATATGCGCTATATAAAACGTGTGATTTGTATAGATTGCGTTAATTTGTGTTTGGTCTGAATAAGATTGTGATGGTGGTGGTGGCTGGAGCTTTCGGTTTATCCAGTAACCGGACATTGGTCACAGGGAAAACTCCACCTTCCGCTGTCGTTGCTACTTGTTCACACTCCGATAGATCATAGGTGCCGATCGGTCGTTGGTCTTGGTGTGTCGCAACTTAACCGTGGCGAACTGAGAGGCTCTGCAAAAATCAAGGACTTGTCCATTTGAGAATGTGATCCCTAATCCGTGGGACCTCTACTTACAGCTGGAAATACAACCTACTAGGGGGAATGGTGGGGCTAGCTGGGATACACGGACTCGCTAGAGGTCAGTAATCTATGGAATAGTTGCGGTAAATACCGCGCCTGCTAGAAAACCAATTTACATTTGCATTATTCCGTCTAAAATTAAGCTTAAGCTTTGTCTTAAATGAAGTTTAAAAATCAAAATTGTATGGATATGAATGCAGGCACCAAAACTCAAGGGATAGAATGTTCAATGGAGAGGTCCTTGGTCTATAAAGTTTCCTCTGGCATGTTCAAATGCATGGATTGTTCGTCGTCGGCAGAAATACAAAAATTTAAATAGCTTTTAAAATTAAAATAAGATATGTACATAAACAAACAAAACAGAAATCGTCTTAGAGACTACTAAAACTAAATTATACAGGGTAAATATAATGCTTAAATCAAACGAAGGAGGGTACAGTGGGAAGGGGTTTTGGGATGACGGATATTTCCCAGCTGCACTTTCCTTTCACACACTCTCTGCTCATTTTCTTAACCGGTAAGAAGACGGCGAAACTCTTGTATTAATTCGCACTCGCACCAATTCCTAACCCATTATATCCTACTTCATCTTGGCACTCGCTGACTTCTGGCCATGCTGTTCCTGATCCCAGAAGTCGTACCATGGCCCGTAGCTCTTGTTACCGGCCAGACTCTTCGAGTTCCGCTCCAAGGTGGCACTGCTGTTACTGATATTATTACTAGCGGAGGCGGAGGACTTGAGGAGGCGTGTTCGCGGCAAAATGGTGGCCGTTGGTGCTCCCGAACTGGCCGTTGAATTGCGGGTCAAAGTGCTGTCCTGCTCCTTTGATGAGCCCTTCTTCAGCGTATTGGTTGCCGTCGTGGATGTGGAGGATCGGAATGTGTGGAACTCCATTTGCTGATGCTGTTGCTGATGATGACGACGCAACTTGTCATCCTTGCGCACCAGATGATCATTGATAACGATGCAATCGTAGGGATCAGAACTGGTCGACTTGAGCTCCGCATCAGATTCCTCCTCATCCTCGCTGGTATAGTACTGCTTGAGTATATCCTGTCGCTTCACCGTCTTCATAACCAGTCCATGACCATGGTTATTGCTCTTGCCCTCGACATCAAAGAAGTTGTTAACATCGCTGAGCTTCAGGGTTCCATGTTCATCGCTTTCACCTTCGTCCGTGGATTGTGGAAACTGCTGCAGTTGCTGCTGCTGGCTGGGCTTGGAGCGACTCAAAGTCTGGGACTTGTGCTGTGATCCTGTGCCCGATACCTGTTTGTCCAACTTTCGGTGTTGCTGCTGCTGCTGCAGCTGTTGATCCTGCGACTGACCACGTCGCATGGTGCTCATCCGCTCCGCCTCCGTTGGCTCCTCAATGTCTATCTCTATGGTCTTCATGATCTTCATGCGGGACTTGGGGGTATAGCTGCTTCTATGTTGCTGTTGCTGCTGCTGCTGCGGTGGCTGTTGTGGACTCACCCCGTAGATATTCTCATCCTCATCTCCATAGAGTTCCGTACTGGTTAGGCTATCCTTGCGTTCGCGCTTCTCCTGCGAGGAACTGGAGTTATGCGACTTGGTAAGTGTGCCATTGCGATCCTCTTCAGAACGCCGTTCAATTTCATCACGATCGCGCATCTCCTCCATATTTGGAGCTGCCACCAGATCGCGGTGCTGCCACAAGGACATGCCGGCTAGGATATCCTCGCCGCTTCGTCCGCCACCGAACTTCCAGAAGGATTTGGTGCGCTTCAGACCAGCACTAGAAGCCTGCAATATCTCGTCATCGGAAGCAATAAGATCGTAACGCATCTTTCCAATTCCTCCTCCGCTCTGCCGGCTCAAACGATGAAGGCTCTTGTCATCGATTTGACTGTCAACGCTATTCCGGAAATTACGATTCAACGTCCAAGATGCCACATCCCGGGGCACCGTGTTCGTATGGGAATTGGTATCCGCCCTGCGTCTACATTTGGTTTGTTGTGTAATTGAAGGGGAGTGGTTTCGGAGTGTTTGTGTGTGGGTTTTCGTGTTTTTGGGTGCATTTTTAGGTGGTTAACACAAAGGATGACAACAGGACAAAATGGCGATACATGAAATCAAACAAGAACATAAGAAAAGCAAATGAAAATAAGTAAATTCAATCAATTAAGGCTCTTTAAATCAGGCAGTAACAACATGGCAAGGATTTCAGTTAAATGGGCTATGTTGGTAGGGATTAGTGACAAAAGGAGGAAAAGCAGGGATGCTGTGGCTTTACTTGGAGAGCAATAATTTTTATAGTTAAGCGGTATTTGGAATGGGATTGTTGCTTTCCAAGTTTTTGATTTATAATACTATACATTTGGTTTAACTCTAGAAGAAGGATCAATCCATCTTTTAGATTATTAACCTATATTTCTAGTCCACCTACCGGATGGGTACTCGTTGTGTGGCTGGTTCCTCATCAGAATAATCAACTTCCGGCTGTGGTGGTGGCTCATTGGCGAATCCACTGTCATTGCTGCTGTGCAGAGAGGTCTTGGCAGCCACCCCGGTCTTGCCTGAAGGATGGTTCTTGGAGCTCTGCAAGAATATAACATAAGCTGATGTTCTTTAACATAATCAATATTAAACCTACCTGGACTCCATTTAGCAGCTTTTGCTTGCGTCTTTCCACTGCCGCAGTGACTCCTCCGTTGGAGGCACAGAAGCTTTGCGAGCTGTTCAACATCCTAGAGGAGGACTGACTCTGCGGTCCATTTGGCACCGGAGCTGGCAGTGTGGGTGGTGGACCCGGGCGTGGGTTGGCTGCAGAGCCCGGACGGTACTTCTTCTGCTGCTTGATAGTATCACCGAACATTCGTGTGGGCGATGACTCTTCAGCGGAATGGTTTCTTCGTCTCCGGTAAGTTGCCTCATGGCTCTCCATCAGCTCCAACTGTGCCTCGTAATCCTGCTGCTGTTGCTGATAGCTTCGCAGACCTCCTCCGCCAGAGCCTGATCCAGATCCGCCTCCATTACGCTCATAGCTCATCAGCATGTTTTCGTATCGCCGACCGCCTGATGTGGTCGCTTCGGCGACATCCGCATTGGTATAGGCCACCGGGAACCATCCAAAATGCTGTGTCCTCAGATTCTCGCCAAATTGCCAGCCCTTGGCCTTGCCGCCGACCAGGGCAATGCGGTCGCCCTCCTCGAACGACAATTGATTCTCCCCAGATGGCATGTATGCATAAAGGGCCTTCACCAAAGGACGCTGATCGCCGCGCTGATCATCACCCAAAGTGGTCAACTGCTCCTCGATGATCTTGTGTTTGTTGCCTATCAATCGAAAGGGAATGATAAGTATAAGTATAACTATATAATTTCAATCCCACCTGAGCTTTGTCCAGTGCCAACTAAAGCCAGATTGAAGTCCGATTTGGCACGTGGCAGCGAGTTTTGGGCATAATGCGAGGGTCCAGTAACGCCCATTCCGGAGATGTTCTCCCGCTCGTGTAGGGTGCGCATATCACCATAGGGTGCATCAATGCTACGCGACTTCTTCAGCTGGGCTCCGTGACCCTGGAGGTGATCGTCCTCTCCATCCTTAATCCGTTCCTATAAGAACATACAATTTTTCAGTATATTATTGTTGTTTTCAGAAATTCGGTATATTAAATACCGAAAAAGTTAAGAAGGAGTATTAATACTGAAATAACTTTAATGGCGGAATCTCCTTGACTAAAAAAGAGTCTAAAAATTCTTTTCTTTAATTTAAAACCACAAATTTAATTTCCTCAAACAATTCACTCTTAACTAGCAAAAAGTTTTGGTTAAGGAAAATGAAAAACAATAACCACAATCATTTTTGTTAGAAATAGAACTAAGAGAGGTTTAAACCCCATTAAAAAATTTATTTTTCTAATGTGAACAGAGGTCAGCCCGAATTTCCTAAAGCCATTAGAAATGATTCCTCTGTTTCTTGTTTGTACGGGAAATAGAAGACCTGGGTTGTTAACAGAGTGGTTAGCGCCCAATCGGATGGAATCGGCTGGGAATAATAATGGGCGGAGATGTGGAGATGATGACTCACCAGGCGGCGCATGTTCCCGTTGTTGATGTTGTTGTTGTTGCTGCTGTTATTGTGGCCATTGCTGCTGCTGTAGCCACTTTCATACGCGGCCGGTGGAATGATCTCACGAGAAGCGGCAATCTCTTGCCAATTTTCGAAATTATTATCAATTACCGTCTTGCCGGTGGTGTGGTAGGCCATCCAGTGCTTGGCGATCGAGCACTGGCGCTCCAAGACGAATCCGTAACGTCGACGCTCCTGTGTCATGGCCTTTTATCGAGAACGGAAGTGGGAAAGAGTGGAAAAGTCGTAAATATCTAACAATTTTTCATAATTTCTAAGATAATTTAAATATTTTTTGGACATTTTATACAATATAATCAGTTATAAATTTGTTTATTAAAAATGTTAACTTCTATTATAGATTCATTTCTTTCTGTGTACTCAATCAAGATTTGGCTGGCAGCCAATGAACTTACATTCTTATAGCTCTGATCGCAAAACACATCCAGCTTCTTCTTCTGATCCTCAAGCAATTGCAGGCTCTGTGGGAAAGCGTATGTTTTTTGGTGGCTCCTTTAGATCCAAGGTACTATAAATGCATCGACTTACCCTCAGCTCCTTTTCGGTATTCTCGGGCGTGGCCTTTTTCTTGCGCTGCTTCTTCATCGTGGAGACGGCCTTCTGATAGCTCTCCATACGCACCTTGTGCTGTTGCAGGAACTTCTTCTGCTCATGCTGCACCACCTTCGTGTCCTTCTCCAGATTTGTCTCCAATGGCACCAATAGATCCACGTAGAAGGCTTTCAACTGGAATGTAAATTTAGATGTTAATTTTTGTAAAGAAAGATAACCCCTCGAAGTACTAACAATATTCATTTGCTGATCCTGTATCTCCTTGTTGACATTTACAACGCTCATCAAAGCTGAACCTAAATGAAATACAAGAATATTTAAGATCAAAAGTGCTTTTTTAGGTCTCTAGTCTCTGAGTCTTACCAATATCGCCCGTTCCGCTTTGCTGGGCGTTCATCGCAATCTTGGCCAATGCTTCATTGAATAGACGAGAGGCAGTTGCGGCACCTGTTGCATGAAATGGCACGGAATGCATTGCAAATTAGTTAACTGTACTGCACTCTGGCAGCAGCGTCGATTATGGTGTTACTATCGTATGATAGTTGGTTATAACACACAACCAAAACTCACCGTGCAACGCCTTGAGGTAACTTTTGCCCGCTGCGATCAGCTGCCTGGCACCCGGATTGAATCTATCAAGTATGTTCTGCAAATTAGAGGAGATCAAATTTTAGTTCATATATACATACTAAGCTTATCGCTATGGTTAATTAAATGTAATTTACTGGCCAGCATGCACCGACATTTCAATTTCATTAGCCCCCTCCAAAACCTGGTAATGGTTTTCCCCGTTTTGCCCCAAGCAGTAAAAGTCGGGTTGTATAATCTTGTTGATTTGAGACAATGTTGTTGTGGTCAGGCGGCCGACAGCCGGCAGAGACATCATTAGTTCCGTGTAGTCCCAACTGAACATACTCCTAATGCTAATTGCTCATTTAGTAATCTCTCATCAATGATTTAGTAGCGGTGAATGTAAATGAAAGTTATCTGATAGATCGGCAAACATAATTGCTAAATGCATTTTTATTACTAACTATTGCAGTCAGTTAGTTATTTTTAACCAAAGAGTTTTATTTTTGTGTTTTGTGAAATGTACATTCTGAAATGTGATCCAAATTGACCAGATCACTTAACACTATATCGAAAGACTATATCGTAGCATTGTTAAACCTGTTTCGCTAAAATAAAATTGAAATTTATTGGTTGCAGTTTTTTGTTTTACTGCCGGCAGTAAATTTTTTACTCAACAGCAAATGAGGAAGACTTCCAATTATTTAACCAGTTTCAAAGCTGATGAAAACTTGATTTGTTTTAACTGGATTAGCCTAGTTTTTCATTGGGATTACTTTCAAGATAGAAAGAGCATCTACCTTTAACAACAAGGCAGAACCTATTTATCTTTCTAAAAATATCTAATTTCAATAATAAACCTGTAGAAATTCTCACTTCTCAGCTGATATCAAACTACCATCAATCATTGATGAACTTACAGCCTCTTTGGCCTTAACGCCTTAAGTGATTTATTATCCACAGAACTCCTTCATAACCTGAACCTATTTAAATACAAATCTATTACTTAAAATGAGTCATGTAACCAATCAATTGATCTCAGCTAGGGCCTCGGAAAATGCAAAATGATGAACAGAGAAAAACGACAATTAATTAACAACTTTGCACATTAGTACAAAATTTGCATACAAAATCGTGAGAGTGTGCTTCGGGATGAAGCTGCATTACGGCTGGGGGCTGGGATGACGTGAATGGTTAGACATGTGGAAGGGAAGTTGACATCACCGTCTCTGTTGACACCATAAAGCACCATAAATAATGACAAAGAAACACTTTGGGTCCTGGGCTTGGCCTAAAGTTGAGCTGGCGAGACAAGCAGACAATGCCAAACATTTAACACGCAAACCGATAAAACCCGAAAATCTCAATTCTCTTTTCTTCAGCCACAAAGCCTTTGCATTGTTCCAAAGACAGTCATTAGAAACTATCGAATATATTTTTTGGGCAAAGTATAATTGATTGTTTTTCCAAGTGATAGACGAGTAATACATACTGAATCACTTCCGTGCTTCATAAGGCCAGTACTCAAAGTCTGACTACCGAATTCTTTGGCCCCCTCGGTTAATTAACAAGAAAATGTCAAAAACCCATATGTAAACAAGGCGTTCTCTGTGGAACAGTTCGTTTCGCTTGTGCCACGGTTTATTGCCAAATGTTTACGCCTCGAAATGTTTGCTTTTCTACACACAAATTTATTGGCTACAAATGTGGCAGCAAGGCGTGGGAATGAATCGAGCCAGCAGCAGCACTCCAGCTCAGATACTTAGATACTTATTTATTCAGATACTCAGCTCGAAGGTCGTCTCCGTTTAACGATTCAACTTCGGTTGAGAGTGTTTGCTTTTATGATCTACTAGCTGGCTGATTTAGTTTAAGACTTCACGAGAAGATATATATATAACAGATATCTGGTGCAGTTATAGTTGCATTTGGATCTTCTAATGTTTGTTTTGGGCCAAGTGCACTTGACTTTGCTGACCTCATCGTAATTTATTTAACTTTGATACGGATACCTTAATAACACGTACAGATAGCCAAGTAGGTTCGTGGCTTCAAGTGCGTTGCGTCGAAACATTTATGGGTTTATCAATGTTAATTGTTTCGTTTTTTTTTAAATCTTTTCCTTGCGATGGCAAACACATTTTGTGGTTAATGCAATCAATGTCTTCGGATCGAAGTTTGATTATTTATTTGGGATTTACCTTAAGGTTCGTTAAATGATTATACCCTTGAGAGTAATTATGACAACAGATTGAAAAATCAATGAGCAAAGGCGAGTTTAGTAAATTGAAATTTGTGATCTTTAAAAACAGGAAAGATTTTGTTATAACCACAAACTTTATAAGCAAAATCCTTGAAAATGTGTAAAATAAAAGTATTTTATAAACTAACTTCCTCTTTCACTTGTTTTAACTCCTATAATACACCCCATTAAATAACCCAAACCAGATTTCCTTTAATCGCGATGACTATCGGGTCATGTAATTGGCCTAACTGCTTAACAAATTCCAGCTCGTTCGATCCGGCAATTAACATTTCTCCTCATACACCCACTCTTGAATTAAAGCTGACGCAATCGCTTATCACGCCCGCGAATCTGCGACCCACTGCGGCAACACTTAACCCAAAATTAATTGAGGTAGTCTTGGCCAGTACCCAGTACTCAGATCTCAATCCCCTGTTGAAAACCCAGGCCCAGACACAAGACCCAACTGACTTGGTCTCTAATCGTCGCTTAACATAAATCGCCAGCAGTGAGCGCCACACATGTATTATTTTTAATTAAAACAGAGACTAAATGCAAAGCATAACACGAAAGCCTCCCCTTTTGCGCTTAAAAAGCCAACGAGGCGGAATGTTAGGCGGTACACAGAGAGAAAGAGTGTACTTACTTTTCAAAATATTATTTTTGCACTTTAAAATATGAAAAGAAATAATATTTAAAACATAAACTAAACAAGAAACTGCTTAGAAATAAGTTTTAATAGTCAATTACTAGACACCTTAGTTTACTAGTCATATTTCTCTCAGTGTCATATAGACAGGGGGCTTGAGGGGGCTTTTTGGAGAGCCTCCTTCAGGTTGGGCCATAATTCAGCGACGCCAGCGAGCGACACACCCACTTCAGAGCATGCGAGAATGCAGCACCAACTTCAGGCAACAACAGTAAGCCGCAATTATGCCAATTAGAAACCAACAAATGCAAAAGGCAACACGCAACAGGTTTGCCAGCCACAATTCCAGCTCAACTGTTGTTGACAAAAACCTCAACGAAGGCGTCAAGGCGCAACCAGTCACGCCTTTAAAAAGCAAGAGAGAGAGAGAGAGAGAGAGGGGCAGGGGGCAACCCATCTAGGAGTGGTAGCCCCCAGAGTGGAAATCCCTTTCCCTTCCCCCGACAGATGAACGCAAAGTGCGTGAAAAATGCTAAACGTAAATAATTCTCGCTTGCGTGACTTCTTCCCAGGCACTTGGAAAAACATCGCAAATGAAAATGTAATTTGGTCTAAAGCGAAGACTAGATGTCCTTGGTGATAGGGAAATATATATATGGTATTATTACATGACAAGTAGTTAGATAGGAAGGATGAGAAATATAACTAAAGCTTTTCCACTAATGTTACCATAGGTTGGCTTCCAAGAGATACATCTACAAAAATATTCACTTTCCTTTTATTTATAATAAAATTTATAACTTTTTTAGCAATAACCTTTCTAAGAGTGAGTAAAATCAATCTGATAAAGCATTTAGAAAAGCCCACACAATCCCTTTTCAGTAAGAGTAGACGAGAAATGGACCCAGCGGGTTTGATAGGGCTTCTCGCCGGCAAGTCGGACGTTAACCCAGTTCCATTTGCCATGGTCATACCCATGTCCATGCCCCCCCCTCAATCCAGACGATGTGACATCGTTACAAGTGTCGGCGTCGGCCCCTCTAATGCAGCCTTAGAAATGCCTTCTCAGCATGGCAATATCAGCTGCATAGCCCACAATTCCCAGATTCCCACTTTGCAGTTTGCAGTTCTCTGGTCCGAAGTGCCTTTTCACAGCTCCACTACCAACCAATCTAACCCATACCCCAGACTGTCTGTGGGCATTAGGTGGCTGCAATTTTAATTTATTTCTACCGGAGCTTCAGCACATCGGACACCTTCGTCCCACCATGCTGGGTCCCCAACTCTTGCGGGGCTTCACCTCCTTCTTCGCCTGCCAGTCTTTATGTTGTTTTTTCTTTCGTATATATAGTATTGCGGCCCGCAGCAGGTTGGCTTTTGTGTGGTCAGCTGGATGTCATTCTGATCCGATCACCTGGCATCAGGCTCTCCTCGCAGCTAGCAGCTCGCAGCTCGCAGCTCGCAGCGACTTCAGTTTCGATTTATGCTACGGGGAATGTGCCATAAATCTAAGCGAATGACAAACAATCCGAAGGCATTCATCGCCACCGGCAATTTGCTGGCAGCTGTTTGAATGAAATGCGTTTTTAACATCGACTTGACGGCCCCAACTTGCGGTTTTATTCAGTTGAAAAAATCATATAAATATACGTACACGTGAGAGGAGAACAAGTTAAGGATTGGGGCGATTTCTTGGGCCTTAAAGCAAAAAAATGACTCACAACGAAAACAAAGACTTCTTTAAATAATATACTCTTCAATGTGATGTATTTTTCTTTTTCTCAAAAGAACCACAAATAACTATTTGCCTTTAGATAAATTCATATGTCTAAAAGGGAAAGTGAAAGCGGCTATTGCAATCATCTCCTGAGCACATCTTTTAGCCAACTTTACTCGTTTGCCATTCAAGATTTATGGCTGAACGGAGTACAAGATTTATTACGGGTGCGGGCAACACAAAAAAATCAGAGAGTTTTATAAATTACAACGATGCTGGTGAATTATATAAGCATTTAAATACAAAAGAGATCTAAATTAATCATTTTTTACACAAAAAGTAACAAGGAAAATAACAATAAATTTTAAGCACAGCCCAAAACATATAATTTGGGCAGTTTTTACAAAAAAGAAGAGAAAAATTACTTTTTATAAGAAATTTTTGTTCAAATTTGTTACCCTTACATATGTTATTGGTATAAGGAATTCAAAATTTGATATATATATCTTGAAGATATAAGATATTTATCAACGAAGTTCCCTAAAACACAAGCCGAAATCCATCACTTAGCTAATGACCTGTAAAATTCCAAAATTCCTGCTCCATTTGCATACCCGCATATGGGGAGACCCTCTTAAAACTACCAAAGTGTGCCAAATTTAGAAAGGCCAAACTGGCCACTCGAACTAAAGATAAGCCAATGCGGTCTGCTAATGAGTTTAGAATACCGAAAGGCTATCTATCGAATTAATTAAAACTCGTTCCAGAACTTGCACAGGCCAACCCAGAAGTTAGTTCACACGGCAAAACCAGACAGAAAGATAGTCAATCTATTAAGCCAAATGAAACTAATATAAAAGACTAACTAAAAGAGAGAAAAAATCAAAAGTTGATATAGTAAATCGATTGATAGACCCGTTCAGCCAGAGCAGTCAAGACAATTGCTCATAAATCACTGGGAATTAAGTCATAATCTGGTATGTGTTGAGGAAGTGACTCCAGATGATTGATGTGCGGTCATTGAGATTCCAATTCCGATATTTTTCCTGCCATTGACAGAGCAGCAAGTTCGTTTCCTGAGTCTTTCGTTTGTCAAAAGCGGCAACCCACTAATTAAAGCAACCAGCAGCACACCTATTTATTCGATTCGACATTACACGGCTGCGACTCTGTCACAAATAAACAATAAGAGTGCGAAAAAATGTTGAAAAGAAAAAACTCTAGCGGGAAAAATGCAAAAATGCTGGTCGCGAAAATGCAGCCATGTGCAACAAGCCAAGGAAGCGGCCCCAAAAACAAAATTTCCGCAATTTCAAGCGGCAGAAACCGCAGAAACCCAGCAACAACACCCAGCTAGTTTTCCTAGAAACAAAACAAAAAAACGACTAAGAGTTACATAATGAAATAGATGCGCGAAATGTGCAATACAACTTCCACATGGGGCAGATGCAACCGCTACAAGAAAACCAAAGAAAAAAGAAGCCGAAACTTGCCAAACTCTCGAGGCGGAGTCGTCGCGTCGCGTCTGTCGTCGTCGTCGTTGACTTGGGAGGATTTTTCGGGGGATTCGCAAACAAACAAATCAAACCACCAATTGAACTCGTTTGCTAGGCTATATATATATATACCAGACTTATATATATATATATGACCAAAAAAGATACAAAACCTATGCCGAAAGATACAACACAGCCACCGTATGTCGTGACCAAATTTGGCTATGAATTTACAGCAGCCCCACTGACAAGAAAAAATTCACTTTCAAATGCTGTTTTGCCATTTTTATCTTCAAATATTTGTACGGTTCTCCGTTACGATTTCTGGTTATGATTTAAACACCCTTTAGTGGTAGGGTAGTTAAAACTTAACCTCAAGTTATAGTGGTTAAATATTTGCTTAAATAAAAGTTTTTATTCCTGACATCAAATGACTCAACTACCTTGCCAAGATTATTTTGTATTTTCCTGTTTAAATAAGTTAGGCACATTCTTTCAGTCCAACTTAATTAAACCTAATAAAAAGCAAAGTATGTCAGTAAAAAGTATGTTTAAAATCCTAGTTTACAGCTCCATAAAAACACAAAAGTCTTGGAAAATTTCAAGGGTATCCATGATAAACTTTCAAGTCACGGCTTTTTGTTTTCATTTTGTAGATTAATTTTTGGTGGCTTTCATTTGGCTGGCAAGCGCTTATGGAGATCGCGTGTGGCGATAAATTTAGTTTACAAAAGGAAAACGTTTAAAGTTATAAATTGTTTTCCAAAAGGGTAAACATCGGTTATGAGCCAGCCTAACAGTGAATTAGTCTCAAGTGGCTAATAGAAATGGCCTTCATGCAATAGCTGGCTTAGTATTTGGATGTCAGGGGGGGGTTATATAAGTTTTAATTTGACCGCCAAAGTAAATGAACAAACTACAAGTAATTGTTAATAAAATTAAAGGTTCTTGTGAAATGATAAAGTTGATTTTATAAATAAGTTAAAATAGTTAAATTTTAGATCATTGGTGCCTAAATTCCTTTAGGGGCAGAGCATTTACTAATACAAATATAAGAAAGCGTGCACACATTTAGTGACGCTTTTGTAAACCACACAAAAGATGTACACTGAGAGAAAGAAATACACTTTTTGGTGCTAACCAATTCGTCACTCATTTCATTGACCCGCAATGCGAAATAAACTCGAAAGTGCAAACAGAAGTTATAAGGAATGAGTTCCAGTGCAAGCGTTCAAGGAAGATCCAGGAAGAACCAAGAACAAAATATTTTACAGTTAGCGACGAAATGAAACGAAAAGAGGAACACTAAAAATTGTTGGTGGAATACATCGGAGAGCGCTCAAAGCGAGGGTGAGGAAGCCCATATACAGCGAACACAGAACATAGATAATGGAAGTTTAAATCAGACTTTATGCAGCTCTAAAAATGTTCTTGGCACCTTAGAATGTCTATTTAACCCTATTGTCTCATCAATTAACAACTAATGAATTGGTTTAATTAGTAAAACAAATAAAAAATGTTGTAATAATTAAGATAAACTTACCCGGTACACGCCATCGACGAGTTTTGTAACTTCCTCGGCCTCCATTGTTGCTGCTCTGATATTTGGCCCTCCTGCCGTTGGATGGATGAAGTGGATTCAAGTAGCCGAAAAACCCGGGGCTACTGATCGATAATGATGAATTGAGCGACCGAAAGCCGTGTATCGAAAACTCACTTGCAGCCCGAAAATAAATTCACTTTCAACTGCAGCGCCCAAAGGCCGCCGATTCAGATTCAAACAAAGTCGCGGCCTGCACTCGATTTTCACTTTCTAAAGTGGCACAACACCGAGACACCCGGGGGAGACACCGAAAAATGACTGGAGTCTGAAGACGAAGACCCCGAATGTGGCAAAGACGTTGAACCGGGCCCAAAAGACTCGAATTTGGAGTAAACTTGTAACTTTGACTTTCGTTGCAGAATCTTGGAAATCTCGTTTCAATCGACTCTTTTTTCTTTTCTTTCTCTGTCGTGACTTTCTTTTTGGCGGGCAGACGAAGACCAACCGCACCACGTAACGCGATCCAGGCAAATGAAATGAGTTTTGAGTTTGTTTATTTCAGTTTCAGTTTCGGTTACTGTTCCTCTCAACAAGTTTTGTTGGGTCTTCGGGTCGTGTTTGTTGTTTGTAGTTTGCCGTTTGCCCAGTGACTTATCAACAACTTGTGGCTTCGGCACGTGATAGAGCTGTTCGTGGATCTGAAAATAACAGAGAGAATCGGAAGTTTAGTCACTCAGCTCATGGAAATCCCTAAAATTGCCTAGGCAAAAATGCCTGGCAACAGGAAATGTTTAATCGATACTTTGGTAAGGATTTTTCACAGGTTAAAGTTTGTCAAACATAATATAAAAGTCATATTACAAAATTACTGAGCTTAAAAGTATAATCCCTAACTATGAGCAAACTCGACGACCTGCTGTCCAAAAAGAAGACGGTTGTTCCCGTTTTGGACCTCAGTCGCAGCAATATCCAGACTGTGGAGGAGTTCAAGCGACTTTTAGAAAAGGTGCCCGACTACAAGATGCGACCGGTAAAGGTGCGCGCCGAGGAAATAAAGATCCGGGAGAAGGACTATGCCTTCAAGATGCCCAAAAAGGAGATGCGAAAGTTGCTAAGGGCCAATGGAGAACGAGAGGCGATGTACACCTACGCAGACCCTGTGCCCAGTGAAATGAAGGATGTGGTACTGATGGAACTCTGTGCAGTGCCCATCGATTGGAAGATGTTGACTACTCTAAGGCCTAAAAACAAGCAGGAGGAGGAGTACTTCAGCCGCATGGTTGAGATGGGAAAGTTGGAACTGAAGACAGAGGCCCGAGATCGCCGAGAGTTTGCACTTAATAATTGTGTCAAGAAAATCAAGAATAAATCTGGAATTGTGGAGTCTCGACTTATGACCTGCGAGTCTTGCGGCGAGGAAATGTGTTGTGGTAAGTTAGAGATTATATTAGTTAGTCAGTAACACCAACTAACATAATATTTCTTATTTAGGCAAGACTTGCGGCGACTTTAACTACGATCTTTATATTCGTGTCGAGGCCAGAGTGGTTAAGCCCAAGCCGGCTGCATTGTCCTCCAACAAGGCCAAATTGAATGGCCGCAAAAAGTCAACTGTGGCCGGAACTAAGATCAAGGTCAAAAAGTCCTCCAACAAAACCAGTTAGAAAAGCTTTAGGGAAAATATTTACCTATATTTATCTAGACTTATTTGCTATTAGATTTTTCATATATTTAACAGGTTTTATAAAATTTATTCGATCAAAAAGCTACTGGAATTTACTTTTATAAACATTTCATGCCATGTGTAACATTTGATAAAGTTGCTAATTTGTTAATAATGTTCATGCCTTTATTATCCCAAGGTGTTAAATAATGAGGAACCTAAACTTAATTAAAGGCAAAGACTAAATAAAACACTAAAAATGTTGGGCATTTCCTCTTAGCTTTTATTTACAACTTATAAATCAGGAGTGTTCAAATTCGCCTTATGGCAGGGAATTCACTAATACAAACATTAGAAAGTGTGCACATATTTAGTGACGCTTTTGTGTTGGTTTGCAGCTGTGCACTGAGAGAAAGAAATACACATTTTGGTGCGAACCAATTCATCACTCATTTCTATGACCCGCAATGCGAAATAAACTCGAAAGTGCAAACAGAAGTTATAAGGAATGATTTCCAGTGCAAGTGCTCAAGGATGATCCAAGAAAAAAACGAAGAACAGTTAGCGACGAAATGCGGAGAAAAGAGGAACACGAAAAATTTTTAGTAGAATAGCGCCGCGGGCTCGCAAATTCTATGGGCGAGTAACCCCATATGCAGCGAGTATTTACAAAAACAAACGAGCACTTCACAGCATAGGCGATGAACACCCATGTTATACTTAAACAAGCATTTTAAGTCATTGTAACACCAAATATTAACTTAAATAATTGCATTAAAAAATCTAATAAAATTCTTTAAATTTTTTTTAGTAAACGTTTAGTTACAAAAATATTGCTTGGAAGTTTTTCACTTCTTACAAACACAAATTCCTATGCTCCTTTCTAACGAATTCCACTTAACATCCAAACTGTTAGCGAACAGCTTCAAAAATGTTGTAAACTGCTGAAAATAATGATCACAACTCAAATGCAAAATAGTAGAAATTTTTGACCATTTTTTTTTGCTTGCTCGACAAGCGATACTCGAGTGTTTTATTTACCGGTCAGCAGCATAAAACTCAAAATGAAATGGCTAAAATATTTAAATTGCCAAAGAGCAACACAAGCGAATGGCCATTAAGACAAAGTCAACAAGGTAACAGGGGTTCTCGGTGCTCGGTGGTCTGGAGAGACTTGATTATGGGTAAGTAGAGAATACACTGAGAAAAATTGAACTTCCTTGAAATTTGATTGATTACAAGCTATGTCTTCAGATTATTGCTATAGAAAAAATTTATTTTCTATATAAGTTTTCAGTAAAATGCTCATTCAAATCCAAGAAAATATGTTTTTAAAGAGAAAAGTGATCAATTTTAGTTTTCCATTTTCATTGACAAACAAAACCTCTTTGATGACAGATTTTTCTATATTTTTTCTCCACGTAATACAACGACTGAAAGGCGCCTGCGGCTATTTCGATGCGTTGGCGACATCGCTCCAGTGGCAAACAGCCACTTACAGCCCACGAATCGCCGATACAGCGACTTGTGCAACAATTTGTGCAAGTCTCTGCTCTCGGCCAGAATTCAATGGCCATGTCTCAGGCAGAGCCTGTGTCTCCGATTCTCCACTTCTCCTGGTTGCCCACTTCTCCAGTCCCATTCTCAGTCCAGCAAGCTGCACAGCTTTTGATTACTAATGAGACTGAGTTCGCTTTTGAGCTCTGTCAGATGGACGATGGTAGCAGCTCTGATTTATGCGGTTTATTTATGGAAATATCTATTCGCGTAGAAATTGAAAATTTACTTTGAATATCAAATTTATAGCCTGCTGGCTGGCACACACACAGCCGGGGGGCCAATGCGAAGTTTGGCTTGGAATCTTAATTTGATTTTGATTTTCTTACAACGAAACTTGCAATTAATTGAAGAATGTTGAGGGTAAATGGAGTATGTCAAGATTGAATTACCAAGTTTATTTATAAAAATTGAATGCAAGTTTAATGATTTTCACATACAAAATAAACACTTATAATTTTTAGCTAAATATAGATAGGTTTTTAATAAATAAAAACTTTAATGCCTGAAGTCTGTTGACTTTTTCCTTTCTTTCTTGACTTATCTCCTCTCAAGATGTCATTGCTTTACTTTTCATTGTTGTGTGGGCTTTGATTGTGGCTTCCAAAATATAATTATTGTAATTGAGGGAGAGATTTATCTTTTCCTCATCTCTATGCCCCTTCCCTGTATCATTTCCCTGCATAGACACAGGTCATAACTACAATTCACCTCGTATATCAGCTCAGATTGTTGACTTTTACCAACTTAATTGTGGAACCGAGTTTGAAACACCATTCCGGATGAATTCTGTTATTGTTAGCCACCATGGAACATGGAACAACAATCAACAGTCAGCATCAATATGTCAGCACTACGCCGCGGGTGACTTTCGTATCTTGGGGTCTTTCACCTGGCCAAAAAAAAAAAGACGTGTCAAGACGATTACGTAGGCACACGCGTCTTTAACTCGGATCTGTGTGTAACCGATCGGAAGATTTCCAACATAAACACGGCCGAATGAAAATAAAAACATGGCCCCGAAATGAAACGCATTTAAATCTTACGAAATACTCGATGTCGCATCTCTATATAGTTATGCAGATGCAAGATAAACACATACCAGATAAGCTGGTAAAGTGAGAGTGTCGGCCAGAAAGAAAGTTAGTTTTATTTTTCGTTAGGCTTTCGTCTACGTGATGTCTGGCAGGGCCACGCCCTACGGCCTTGATTAGAATTCCAAGTTGCCCGGCAAACCGAAAGACTTAGGCAACGAACTTCGCAGCAACTGCATTCTTTCGCAAGCAAGGTTAGCATCGTCACTGTGGTCAGCAGTGGAACTTGATACTGGATACTGCATTCTGTATACGACGACTTAATTATGCATCTGCCATGAAAATGTATGCAAAAACGGCGGTTGTCTATTAAGAACAAGGCCAGAATCGCCACTTGGCTGACTTAGCCAGAGAAAAATCAAAAATAACATTGCTGAGCTAAGAGTTGGCTGTGTGATTATTGGATTTTAATTGCTACCTTAACATTGGCTTTTTGTGGAGTTTAATTGGTTTTGGAAGTCAAGTAAAAAGTAACTTGGGTAATAATAATTATAAAAGAATTAAAAGATAAAAGAATTATACAAAAAGTAAGGTAATAAAAAGGAAAGATTTATGTTAAAAAAGGTTTAAAATGTCTTTTAAATTGGTTTAAGATTTCTGATTTTAAACTTAAAAGGAATAAAACTAAAATATTCATATAAAAATATCCAAAAATCTTAACCAAAATCCAACTGCCTAATAAACTTGTTTATTTGCGTGGGAAGACCCACTCCCACCGAAAACCAACTGCATCCTCCCTTCCTGCCAATGCCGTAAATCACTTGGAAAAACTTTCGCCAAATCGAAGAGCTGATGAGCAGTCAACGACCATTTTCCTGACAGCCTCGCAATACATGCGAATAATCGGGCAAACAACTTAAAGCAGCATGTCCAACATCAGTTAAGCCCAGAGAAGAAGATTGGTTTGCGAATGAAGAGGCCACTATTATCAAATGCTCATCATTAACATTTGCTAGCTGCTGCCTGGCTGTTGCTGGAATCTCGACGTGACGATCAAATTGCAGCACATGTGAATACACGTGTGCTGAGCTCAGTTGGACAAAAGGTGAGCCAGCTGAAGATGTTGCCGGCATATCTGTTGTTGTGAAAATAAAATTAAACTAAAGTCTGAAGACAATGCACTGGGCGAAGGGGCTGGCTCTGACTGTGGCAGATGCATAATCGTATCTGTGCGCTAAATTGCCGCCAGATAGATTTGCAAATGAGTCTTAGATACACACAGCACACAATAACATTGTTCAGCCATACCACAACATACCATAGGAAACTATATATATATTTTTACCTGCCCCTCACCTCTCTTAGCTCATTCAGTACCATGCAAATTGAGAGACTCGGCCTGTTCGTTCAGTCAAATTGGCAGTGAAAGTAAAAGTTTAAGTTATTTTTTTCACTCTCTGGGCTGTCGAACCAAGACCAAATCCCAAACCGTGGCCAAACGATTCGAACGCACATGAGCTGCCGACGAGACGGGGCAGGCATCTCGACTGACACTTGCCTTGCCATAAAGAGATGTAGTCCATGTTTCACCTCGCCCTGAACTGTGGCACCTCGAAGGCCCCCAATGCCCCTGAACCTAACCTCCCCCGCTGGCTAAAAGACCGCCCAAAACCATTTGCTTTTTGCAATTAACTTTTAACCAGTAAATATCTTAACAAATTTTTTTTAATAAAGAAAGTTGGCTTGTAAAATAATTATCGGAAATATAACTTAAACTTTACCATAATGGTAACAGAAAGTAATTTCCAATATTTAATAACTTAAAAATTTCAGTGGAAAAATAATTAAAAACTTGACAAGTTATTGATGAAATAAATTTACTAAGAAAGTCTAGAAACCTATTTAGGTTTGGTTGTTAATGAATTTATACATTTAATCATTAGCTATCTGAACTTAGAAGATCCTCATTTAGCGAAAATTATCTCTCTTTGGTCTAGCTTGGCTGTTCCATTAACCCACTGAGCTTGGCTTCTTGGCGAGAGAGATTCCCCCTCCACCCAGCTGGAGGCTGATCACCGGACACACCCAACTTGGGCCACCACCATCTTCCATCTCCCATCCCCCACACACAACCACATACCATATCTTCTTGCCTGAACGATCGTGACTCCATTTAGCCGTACTGCTCACGTACTGGCATCTCCTGTTTATTGCCATTGCGCTGGCGGGGAAAAAAGAAGCTCTCCCCATCATAAATTAGGTGCAGATGGAATCTCAAAGTGCCGACTCTAGTTTGTTGTTGGTTGGATTTTTCTCTGGGAGCGTTAATGGCCATGCCTATAACTTTGAACAGGAACTGCCTGTACAGATCGTACACCCACATCAAAGAAAATTAAAGAAAATTCCAAAGAAAATCGAATGGTCTTGTGATGATGATCATTATGGAAAGGTTGGTAAATTTAACTTTAACTTTAAACCGGAACCCAGCCAAGCTAAGTACTTCCACGTGCTGTGAGCCAAATTTGATTGATTTCCAAGCACTTGTCATGGGATTTTCTTGGCCTGAGCAGCGGATCGGTAGCTGAGACTCCAACTCATTTGTCCGCCCACTAACCAATCATCGGAATAGAGATACTCAGAGTATTGGGTCCTAAGACATGGAGTGCCAAAGTGAAACAAATCGCCAAACGACGTACTGACGACTGC